CCCCTAATTTTGGGAAATCCTAAATCCTAAACCCTCTGTATCCTCCGAAATCCACCCTGAAAGGAACCCATAATTTTGGGGCAACCACTTTCTTGGGGGCAGGGACTGGGGACTACAAGCAAACTATGGCAGCCCTCCCTAACCGAGCATTTTGGGAAAACTACCTGCAGGCATGACGAGAAAGACCTGGTTTAGGGCTGAGGGATTTATAGGGTTTAGGGATTANNAGTGAAGAAGACCTTACAACGCGCAATGCAGTGCGCCAGACACAAAAAAATCTCGATTTGTGCGTGTCATCCTTGCGCAGGCAGGGGCCATGCTAATCTTCGCTGTATCGTTCCAATTTTATCGGATGATCCCCGAAGGATTGGATTAGGGTTTAGGAATTAGGATTTAGGGATTTGGGTTTAGGGATTAAGGTTTTAGGGCGTTTTGGTGTCCTGGCTACCCCCGATGCCTAGAACGAAGCCTCAAAAAAGCCACATACGGTGGATACTAGACGCTTCGCATTACCCTAAATACCTTACGCCTTGGGAATTGTGGTATTATAGTATACTAAGGTCATGCAGGATTTTTTAGTATCAACAGTAGTTTCACGTGACCTTGTCCCACGCATCTAGCCCAAGCCCGTAAAAGCAGCAGAAACACAAGACTGACACCTTTGAGTATACACGAAAATCTTAAGCATATGGTTGTACGCCACAAAATTGCCTAAGAAGAATTCGGCATCCTAAGCGGCCTAAATCCTAAACCCTAAACCCCCAATCTGACTCCAGTACGGCCAGACACTCTCGCTCGATGCTGGCCAGCTGTTCGTCCAGGGAGTAGAGATGGCCCTCCATAGCCTAGCGTATGAGTAGTTCCCAAAATTAGGCGCCCATTTTGGTACCCCTAACTATTAGGTGCCGAAATATAACATATATGTATATATATATAGATATCACCAAACGAGGCCCATAATTTTGAGAATAACTCATATTCGGGGAGGTTGTGAAACTATAATATAGGGACCCCTAGGTCCTTTGGTGATGCCGCGCCTGTGACCTAGGCAAGCTAGGGGCGTATCCAGTCAACAGAGGTTAGCGTGGAAGCTCAGGGAATAAGATCGCGAGCCATGTTGAAAGTTTCCTCAAAGTGGCATCTTCTGAGACTGTTTCACAATGGCCGGAACAATGCCGAGACCAGAAGTGGGGTCCAAAGGTATGTTGCATTAAGAGGGATAATCAGTACGTAGTCAGTGTAAGGCACTATGTAGTTTCCACTAGGATTCGAGAGAAGAAAGGCAATATGTGCAGTGTATAGGGGTTGGAAGAGTTGTTGGAGCAAATCACACCTCAAGGCTCTCTCTCACAGTACCAGTAGCAGTCTTACCTCGACATATGCCCCTGAGTAATCAAAGGCATCCTCGCCAAGAGGCCCCCAGTAAGAAAGTTTCAGTCGTACGTCGGACCAGCTTCTATCGTAGAGTGCTCACGAAATCCTGGTGCAGCTTTTGAACGGGTACGAAGCTGAGTCCACCTATGGGTACGAAGCTAAGCTGAAACTTTCGCTGAAAACCCCTAAACCCTAAACCATCTAAATCCTCATCCCACTGTCACTGAGTGGGGGCAGTATCCAACCTATGGCCAGCATTCCACGAAACACTTTATCAGCTTAGCAATCAAAAGCGTTTCTACCCTAAACCCTTTTGCATCCAGGACTCAAAATGCCGAAAACCCACCTAAGCCTAAACCCGAAATCCTAGACCCCGAAACACGAAACCCAAAAACCGAAAGCCTGAACTTCTTCTGAAACCCTAATGCCGTAAACCAGAAGATATATATATATATATACATATGTATATATTCCCCAAACATCCCTAAACAACCCCCTGCCTGGACTTCTCGACTCACGGCTCGGAGATACCTCCGCTGGGCCCGCATGGGGCCATCCGGGTCGGCTCGCGCCATCTTCGAAGCTCTGACGAGCAGGACCCTCAACAATAATTATGGGCTTAGGATGGCTGAGGGTTTAGGGCTTAGGTTAGAGGATAGCTTGGGGGGCCTAGGTGACCAAGCTACATAAGCAAGAAGTACACATATTGGCATGCCGAGCATACATGTCACACAACTATGGGTGGTTCAAGTGTGCACCGCGGGATATATGGTTCTATGGCTGCGTGACATGTTCGGTGGCACTGGCTTGCGCTTCAGAGCAACAGAAAAGCTGTCTCCATGCTGCAGGAGATATGCTGAAACCTTTACCTGCACAGCCTGCAGTGAGAACATACCGTCTAGCACTGCCAGCTTCGCTCACCTCTTCATCGCGAACCATCAGACTCGCACCAAACTTCTCAATCGCGGCAGAGAGCCACCGCTCCTGGCATGAAGTTGTGATCCCCAGAAAGCGCAGGAGTCAAGAGCGTGCCAAAAACCGCGCCTACGCGCAAACGCGCTCAATTCGTAGAAAACAACACAGGCTGTTGAATCTGCTGGTGCACCTGTAGATATCCATGCCGGCATGAAGCATTACAAGGGCAAAATCTAAAAACCAGCCCATCTTGGTTAATCATGGACCGGACCCTTCCATACTATGTAATTACCTCCATGATCCCCATATAGTACGCATTTGATCCTCTATATAATCCAGACCGACCAACTCCCCAAAGGGTTCCCGCTGTCAAGCTTATGAACCCTGTCGCTATACTAATACCTGAATACGACTCTTAACGCATCCAACGGCTTGGGGATGATTATGTTGAAGTGAGGGTGTTTCCGGCTAAGCCGGGGTCCAAAAAGCATGTTTGGATTGCGGTATGCTTCGTAGTACTGGGATCTTGACGAAAGGCACGTTATGGGGGTATGCATGGGCATGTATCGAGGTATGTATCGGAGGGGTTAAACATGC